CTTAATAGAATATCATTAGTATAATATATGACAATCATAGCAGTGGTAATATGCAATGGCAGGGTTATGCAGAAATTGACACTGTACAACTGAATTTATCAGCCACTTTCACCTATCATCAAATCCCCTTGAGGTACACATTGAACCTTCCAGTCCTTCTGCATTACCCACCAAGTATACCCAGGTCCTTGAGCAAAAGCAATCCCACGAAAGCGTTTACCTTTACCCAAGGCAGGAATAACCCAGACTGTCTTCCCCAGCATGTTCTTGGTATGCACCACAAGGACTTTATCCCCGTCTACAGTACATAAAAGTTCTGATTTCAGCACAAGTTTCACATTCATGGATAACCTGTGCAATAGTGTCCATGGTTAAGTCCACCCTTTGATCACGAGACCATCTGTATGGCATCTCTTCCTTGATGACCTGAGGCACCATGGGCCCAGCAAGCTAAAAATTTTTCAACCTTATGTTGCCAGTCTAAGTCCACTTAGTTGGAGACAGGGCCTCTCTAATACGAACTGTAGCGTTCCTTACTGTTGGATGGATTTGAGGAGTAGAGTGCGTGGGCCCCAATCTCATTTTGCTTACTTGGTCCTTGTGAATACGGATCAGAAATTCTGCTCACAGGATCGGGAGTAAAGTCAAAGTCAACCCTTTTACTTTGTTCGAGGAATGGATTAGTGGAAACTGGAGCAGCAATTCTTCTGGAAACACCAGAAAATCCCAGTTGTGTTTATTCTTTACAGCTTGCGTACCTGTGGCTCTAGGGCTGAGGTTGGTTTTCCATCCCATCTTCTCATGTCTTCTTCATGGTTGTGCAGGTAAAACCACAGCTTGCACAGTATTATTTGCTTGCACAGCTGCACTTTGCCCTTCTCGTTGAATCACAGGAATCATTGTGATATTTCTGGCTGTCTTCAGCTTTTGAAAGGATCTGGAACAGACATTCTTCTTCAGACTATGATATCCTATATTTGTCACTATAAAGAAAGGTGAAGGTAGAAATTGTTTGAAGTTATATTTATAGGTATCCTAGAGGATAGTTTGAATGCTATTTGCTTCCTTTCTCTGCCTTACACTATTCCCAAGTTATACTAGAAAAAAGCAGAGTAAATAGAATATAGTCATCCAGCATAATACTCATAGAAGTTCTCTTCTTAGGTTACAGAGGAGAAATCCAGATGATGTCACTGACATTGAAAGTCCAGAGTGGCTCTACAGTTTCTCAAAGGTGATGTCATCTCTATCTTCACTGTGGCATTTCCTTTTAATTATGACTATATTGTTTAAGAATTTTTAGGAATGTTTAAGAAATTGAATTTGAACCAGAGCTTTTTTTTATAACTTCGTTTCTCTTCATATTGATTTGTATATTCTTAATCCTTTTGTACTTCAGAAATAAGCATTAACTGCTTATTTCCCCTTATGCTTTATTACAGTTAGGAATTTGTTGCATTTGTGGCAAAGGTAAGACAAATATTAAATCCTTATTCTTTATATTCATGTTCTAGTGTCATGGCTATCACAGTAATATTTTAATAACCTGTATTACAAACCACAAGCTCAAGGGTGTTCAGATGTAGGAATCTGAGCCCTATCTCTCTAGAATGTCTATTGATATTTTTTCAGCACTAAAAAAGAAGTTGCAAAAAATAAGATGTATAGTACCTTTATCTGATATTATAAGTTTATCTACAGTATAATATGCAGTATTGCAGTATTTAAGCCACTCTTTCACTGGTCAGTTTACAACAAATGATTAATACTTAATTTAAAAAATGCCTTTTAGAACTAAAAATCAAAGATGGTAAAGCTTTTGACTTTTCCCTATTAAAAATGTAAATAAGAAGTGGCACTTGTAATTAATTGTAATACCAGACTCTCAGTTGTTGGTGTTGCAGAGCCACCTTTTACATTTAGGAATTATAAATGCATTAATTTTTAAAAGGTAGCCCTCATGTGGATTTTTTTAATCTTTTAATCCTTAAGAATCATGAAATATTTTACAGTGTAGGATCTGATCTTCAAAGCATTACTCATCTGAGAAATCCTTGCTATGCAAATAATTGCATTCACTTGCAAAGTCACTGGATGCATGAGTAAAATGTATATCATTGATCTTTTCTATAATGCTACTACCCACTTTACAAAATGGAGCAAGAATCTAAGAACTCAAGACTGCATCATGTCAATCGTGTTTTTTTCCATTGATTTCAGGAGAAGCCAAGCAGGGTCTCAAAGATGCCAAAAAAACATTAACCCTAATCTATATTACTGGCTCACAGCAAACTTGGACTCCTCTTCAGTCTGGACCTTTGCCCCTTGAAATTTGATCTTTAGTGAACATGGTGATCTTTGCCGTCACATCTCACCTGGAAGACAGGAGCTTTTACTGTTCAAAGACAGAACACAGCAGTTTAAGCATGAACCTTATTTCAGTCTGTTGAGCAAAAATTTAATATTTATTGTTCCTTATTAAATTTCACGGTATGAATGAAGAGTACTCTCAGGTCTCTGAAAAAAAGGCAGTTAGACATGTTCATATTCAGACCTCTTGGTCTTTTCATCAGCTGTTGAGCCTTTGTACATTTCTACACTTCAGAACGTGTAGTTGATGCAGTGTATTTTCATGATACGTGTGATAAAGAAGGGAAAAAGAATATCATTCTGGTTTGACTGATGCAGAAAGAATTTTTATTCAGTTTTCCTCAGAAAGCATTTTTTATTGAGTTTTAACCTTTTTAAACTGTAATGCTCAAGGTAACATTTAAACTTATAAATCTTGGAGTCCCATAATAACCATTATCAAGGCTTAATAATTTCAAACTTCATTAAACTGTATGTTCCCTTTGAGATAACCTAGGCAAACTGAATATCGGTTTCTTTATCAGTGTTCTGTTTTCCTTCACAGCAAAGAATTCATGAGTTATACTCTTTCAAGGACAGAATTCCTACTCTGCACAAAATAGTAGTTTTCAGTTATGTAATTTAGAAGATTGCCAAAAGTGCTTTGCTTGATACCATCTGGAGAGGAGCCCATACCTTATTTACTACAGAAGACGAAAAAAAATTATTTTTTCTTTTAAGCTTTCTTCTTGATTAATTTTCCTAATATTACACTGATCTGATTATGCTGAAGATTGTAGAAGCTACACATCACTTGACTTATATAAAAATGTCTTAACATGGCTGGAAAGACTAAAGAAAAGACAGCTTATATTTTCTGCTTTACACATCCTTTTGTGAAGAAGTTAGAAGTATTTGTGTGTGTACAGTGTATAAACCCTATGTTCATGCCAAATCAAACATATACAGAATTAATTATTTTAATATAAATAATGAAAATATAAGTAAATAAATAAATAAATAAATGAATACATTCTGCATGCCATGTTAGGTCTTCGCAGACAAATAGGAGAACCCACCCTAAAACACATTGAAGAGGGACTTTTGTTTTGTTTTGTTTTTTTGTTTAAAACAACAAAGTGTTCTCAGCAACCTTTCTGGAAATATAGATTTAAAACACAGCATGTTTCAGCATTCTTCTGTATCAAAGTTAAAATATTAAAGAATCCAGCTATGCAGTAGAAAACAAAATTCAATTAATGTAAAATTAAGTCCACCAGTAAAAACTGGGAATGGTGCAACACCTATGTCATTTCCTCCTTATTCTTTGGATCTATTTAGGAATTTTTTCATTGTCATTTTTTCTCTCTGGATGTTAGTAGGGGAAGCAGAAAGAGCACTAAAAAAACCCCCTCAAACTTGCTGACTTAAATGGTCCAGTCAGAATGAATGATCTAGGGAAAATTTTCCTCACTGCTTGAATTACTGGGATAGCAAGTGCTCAGTCACTTTCAGAGAAAGGTATATGCACAGGTCAATCAAAAGCAGCAGGTGTCCAACGCAATTGACAATTTCAGAATATAGCTGCAGTATTCTAAAAAAATCTCAGAGTGTATATAGAGAGATTTTTCTAGTTCTTATACTTCGGTGGTATTAACTGAGCAATAAAAAGCATGTTAAGGATATCAAGGCGACCACCTTGGGTAATGAAAAAGACATTCCTGCCTCTCAAGATATCAAGGAGTGTTGGAGTTTCAAGAGACTTCTTTTCTTTTCTAGAGATTTCTTTTCTTTTCTTTTCTTTTCTTTTCTTTTCTTTTCTTTTCTTTTTCTGTTTTGTTTTGGCAGCCTACTATTTTTCTCTCCCTATCACATTCAGAAAAAGTGATTGAGGAGTTTAATTGAAACTTTCTCAAGTATTTAGCAGGAGACAGTATACATGGACTATTTAATTCCAAATGTTTGAAGCTTGTCAAAGTTCTAAGCAGTGGAAAACAGGGTCATAAAAATTGAGATTCTGGGAAAATTAAAAATAGTCATTCCTACCTACCTCACCTACGATCAACAAGAAGAATAATTAACTTGCCAGGAAATTTTACACTGGCAGGAAGATTTACATTAGTCATCACCTGAAACAGTGCCAAAATAATCCTATAAAACTGATGGAGGAAAGAAGCTCCCTTGAAGCCCTGGAATCTCTTTTCCATGT